ATCTTCTAATTAAAATCAATAATACTTTCTTCAAGTGATAATCACTATAGTAGTTTACAAGAATGAATGACATCTATTGATAACGTGCAACGTGTAATTATAAATATTTAAAACTTCGGTTAACAAAGGTAACTACAAATATCCAAAAGCCTTAAAATGTGAAAATTAAATGGTTGAGAATTACCCTTGTTTGAAAAATCGCTAGGCGCTAGTCGGGCGGTCGGCATGGGCCTAGCGATTAATCGGAAAATCGGATTAAAATCGGGGATTAATCGGGGATTAGTTTTAGGGTTATTTTAATATTTTTAAAATATATTAATCCAATATTGTAAAAATTTATGATTTTTATTACAAATTTATGATTTTTATTAAAATTTGAACACAAGTTATTGTAAAACATCACAAACTCCCCATTCAAATGATTGAATAACAAAAATAAAAGGTTTTTTTATACTTGCAATCTAAAAAATAATCGGGGTATATAAGATAAGATGGAAAATAATCGGATTAGGCGGGAAGTAATCGGATTAGGCGGAGAATAATCGGGTTACTGATTTTTTAGGGGATTAGTCATTAATCGAGGCGGATAGGGTGGGCCTAGCGATTAAGCGGGGAGTAATCGGGGCTAGGCGGGGATTTTTAGAACAGGGAGAATTACCTTTCAAGAAATCTGATTGGAGAATAGCATCTAACAGAAAATGATTGTATTTGTTAGGAAGCAATAACCGAACTAATTTGTTGTTCAGAATTAAAAGTAGTCAACCTATATTTGAGTGCGATGGTTTTTTTTTTTCTCTGTGGGTAAAAAAACTAGTGGATTAATTGATCTACAAATATTTCATTTCATTAGGAGCAGTAATCTAGCTATATTGATCTTTTACTGAAATTTATATATCATTGGACTAGCTAGTTAGTTAAACTTTTTTTTTTCTATAAGCAGGGCCAAAATATGAAGTATTAATTTAACAATACCTAAGGCCCAAAAATTCATACCAATAATCAAAAGTATATGTGGAATCTACAAAAAATTCCTTCACTTCAGATTTATTCCCTTCACTTTGTTTGACCAAAATAGACAAGAATATTGGTCATATAATAATGATAATATTTGACCAAAAAACATTCATGATATTACCAGTAACATATGTGGATGATATCATATGCATCGAAAGAAGTGAAAAGATTTGCTAAAAGATCCCTGATCTTAGATTTATTATGGTTTTAAGATGTTAGATTCTCTCAGCAAACATTACAACCTTATTATATACCATCAAGCAAGCGACTAAATAATGCATCTAAATAGCACCAATCGTCGGAAACAATCTGAGAAGAGATAAAAGAAAATCGGGTCATATCAATTTTTTTCAAATTATTATCAAACTTAATTTCATAGTTCTATAGTCTCTCTACTTTTTGTTTTTGTTTTTTGGATTAAAACAAACATCTATTCCAACTTGTTACACATTTTTTTTCCATATATAGTATAGGTCACAGCTAATGCGTGTGCATTAAGATTTCAAACAAGTTTATTAGTTCTGTTAATCAGGATATTTCCACCACTTCTTTTGCGTGGTAGGTTTGGTTAACCCCTTGTGAGTTTATATGCTTACGAAAGTTAAATCTTTATTGAATCTTGATTAACAACACTTAGCTAACAAAATATTTGACTAGAAGTTTTAGAAATAGAAAAGTTTTACAGAGGTTTTCAATCTGCTATTCTTGAGTCGTTGAAATAAATTTCAATTCAATGATCGATCGATGTGTCATGTAACCGTCCATGAATCTGGACACAATCACACAAAGAAGATCCATAAGTTGTTTGGTATTATTAATTATCCGTTTATAGATATGTTTCCATAACTAATTCATTTTTTGTTACGAATTAGGTAATTGTGTTATAATTTTTGATTCTTTTAACTTTTAAATTAAATTGAAACCTACACAACCACAATCTTTAATGATGCATTACTATAAATAGGATTTAGCATCCCCACATCTTCTCAAAAATTCAAAATAATAAAGAGAAGATAATAAATACGAGGACGTAACTGATAAAATCACGAAACCTGATTCAGCTTCACTATTCAAAGTGTTATAAATATCTATCACACGGCGCAAAACGAAACGCTCAAGCTCTCAAGTTTATCTTCCTCAGCCGTGTAGTTCAAATTCCGGCACAAAGCTCCGCCGTCGTTTCCTCTATCGGGGATTTTCTACGAGAAGAGGTAAACAAATCTCTCTCCAACGATTTTTTTTTTTTTTCAATCTGATTATCGTTGATCTGTTTTTTCTATAGAACAATTTCTGTTACTAGTAATCATATTTTCCGGAGCAGTGTTCTTAGATTTATTTTCATTTTCAAACGAAATTTGCGATTGTGTGTTTTCCATTTTTCAGATCCATAGATCTCTCGACCAAATTATGTATGTTTGCTTTCGATTTTATATATAAAAAACTACAAAAATAAATTAAAAAAGATGCATGTAATGGAAATTACTTAGGCTGATCTCAGATTAATGCTCATAAAAAATTGGGTTAAAAAATATCATAGATATATCTGACGTTGTATCAAAGGCTAATCTGTGTAAATCTGATGATTAGTCGTAGAAATATCATTGTGTAATTTTTACTTGGCAAAGAAGTCATCTTTTGTCCCTTTTCTCAATAAATCAGGTCAAAAATTCCTCACATTGTTGTGATGTTGTTAAATCTCCTTCTAAAGAGACCCTTTTGATTCAATGATTCTCTTTTACTCAATTAAACTCAGGTCACAGAATAAAATTTGTCGAAACCAAATGACAATGGAAGAGGACAAGGATATATACACACAAGATGGAACTCTTGACATTCACAAGAAACCAGCAAACAAGAATAAAACAGGAACCTGGAAAGCTTGCAGATTCATTCTTGGTATTGTTCAAACCTTTAACTTTTGTTGTAATAAAAAACCAAATCCTTTTTTTTTTTGTTCTGAATTTGATTTGATTGTATCTATGATTAATTGTCAGGAACTGAGTGCTGTGAAAGATTGGCTTACTATGGAATGAGTACTAATCTCGTGAACTATCTTGAGAAACAAATGAATATGGAAACCGTCACTGCTTCCAACAGTGTCACTAACTGGTCTGGAACATGTTATGCTACTCCTTTGATCGGTGCTTTTATCGCCGATGCTTATCTCGGTCGATACTGGACCATCGCTTCCTTTGTCGTCATCTACATTTCTGTAAAAATCTACAACATGAACAAAAAAATCTACTTTGCTCATTTAATAAATCTCAGAAGCTTGAAACTGTTTGCTCTGTTTTTTTTTTTTGTGTGTGTGTAATTTAGGGAATGACGCTATTGACGATATCAGCTTCGGTTCCTGGTCTAACACCAACCTGCAGCGGAAACAGCTGTCACGCAACCGCGTCTCAAACCGCGGTTACATTCATCGCGCTTTACTTGATCGCACTCGGTACTGGAGGGATCAAGCCTTGTGTCTCTTCCTTTGGTGCTGATCAGTTTGATGATACAGATGAAAAAGAGAAAGAGTCGAAAAGCTCTTTCTTTAATTGGTTTTACTTTGTGATCAACGTTGGTGCAATGATTGCTTCCTCTGTTCTCGTTTGGATTCAGATGAATGTTGGTTGGGGTTGGGGTTTAGGTGTTCCCACCGTCGCAATGGGTGTAGCCGTCGTGTTCTTCTTCGCCGGAAGCAAGTTCTACAGGCTGCAGAAACCAGGAGGAAGTCCGCTCACAAGAATGCTTCAAGTCATTGTGGCTTCATGCAGAAAATCTAAAGTGAAAGTCCCTGAAGATGAATCTCTTCTCTACGAGAACCAAGACGCCGAAAGCAGTATCATAGGAAGCCGCAAGCTCGAACACACCAAAATATTAACGTAAGGCATAAGCAAGTCCAGTCTGTAATTTTGTGTTGTTAGGTTAACTTTTGATTAACTTAAAAATCATTTCAGGTTCTTTGATAAAGCAGCAGTGCAGACAGAGAGTGACAACAAAGGAGCAGCTAAGTCGTCGTTATGGAAGCTATGTACAGTGACACAAGTAGAAGAGCTCAAAGCACTGATCCGCCTCTTACCGATTTGGGCCACAGGGATTGTCTTTGCTTCGGTTTATAGTCAAATGGGGACTGTGTTTGTACTACAAGGCAACACATTGGACCAACACATGGGACCTAACTTCAAAATCCCTTCCGCATCACTCTCCTTATTCGACACGCTTAGTGTCCTCTTTTGGGCACCTGTCTATGACAAGCTAATTGTTCCCTTTGCCCGGAAATACACAGGTCACGAACGCGGGTTCACACAGCTTCAACGGATTGGAATCGGGCTCGTAATCTCTATCTTTGCTATGGTCTCTGCGGGAATCCTCGAGGTCGCAAGGTTAAACTACGTTCAAACACACAATCTTTACAATGAAGAGACAATCCCGATGACGATTTTCTGGCAAGTTCCGCAGTATTTTTTTGTGGGTTGCGCGGAGGTTTTCACTTTTGTAGGTCAGCTTGAGTTCTTCTATGATCAAGCTCCTGATGCTATGAGGAGTCTCTGCTCGGCTTTGTCGCTCACCACGGTTGCATTTGGGAACTATCTGAGCACATTTTTGGTGACATTGATCACTAATATCACGAGATCAGGTGGAAGACCAGGCTGGATCGCTAAAAACCTCAACAATGGTCATCTTGATTACTTCTTTTGGCTATTAGCTGGTCTGAGTTTCTTGAATTTCTTGATCTTTCTTTGGATTGCTAAATGGTACACTTACAAGAAAACGACGGGGCATGCACTTTGATGATACAAAACACGACGTCTGCAATGTCTGTTAGAGATAAATCTCGAATTCTGTTTTTTCTTCTTCATAGTTTCGCTCCTAATCACTCTGCTTGATAATGTCGTTAGTAATTTCTTACTGAAACATATTTACAGATATTATTTTTATTCATCATAAATCAATTAGTTTTTAGTTCTTTGCTTGAGTTTAGGTTACTAGATAGTAGATACTACTTAATCGACTATCTTTATTGTATTGTGGTTGCAGAGTTCAAGGGTTGGTATCAAACACACATACAAAGCATTTATATTGAGATTCCGTAGTGAAACTAGAATAGTAGATTTTCTCGTTCCAGTCGCCGACCTTGATTTGTTTGGTTAGTGATGAATCCGTGATCAAACGCTCCGAGACTCGAATGCAAGCTTTCAAAGAACCTGAACATAATGGAGAATGAAAAAACAGAAGTTGGATGATTTTGAAAAGAAGCAAATAAAGGTAAAAGGCAGCAACAAGGAGAATGAGGCAACAAAGAAGATCATATAACTTGATTAATAGACCCAAGTTTGAAACTTAACACTTGGGCTTGATACGTCAAGCTACTTCTACATTTGCTATTGCATCGTAAAACAACACATCTCAGTGATGTTTACTCAAACCACCAAGACCAATGTGTGTCATCCAGATGCTTATGCTGCTCACTTCAAAAACCATTTGTTACGTTTGTTTAAGCTACTTAAAGAATCAATCTATATGCAATCTTGATAATGCAGACACAGAGAAAAGCCTCGAACTCAGACTTAGCTAGTTGCTGAAATTAAGAGAAGATGATACATTGATACTGATGCAGCTTGATTTTTGATGCAAAGTAGGAGAAACAGAGAGAACAAAAGCTGTCCAGAGACTATAAAGATGATACCTTTAGTCACAACCCAGCCTTGACTAATTCAGTTGCTATTTATTGCCTTCTCGGTATCTCTCTTCTCTCTCAGACATTTCGTCAAACACTTTCAAAGCATCACTGAAATTTCCAGTTTTTTACAATATCCTTGCCTTTCTCAATCTGTCTCGTCTTCTTACTTGCATTCTTGCAATCGAATCAGCTCGACGAACACAACCAATCATAAATCGGAGGATGTGGTGGAAGCATGGACGGCGGCGGAGTAGGAGCATAACTCACAATTCCGAGAGTTTAGGTTTTGTTGTTATATAACGTTGAAAACGACCCGGTTCTATTTTGGTCTGATTAACTCTGGTTAAGTAGATAACCAATTATTCACAAAGATAATTAGACAAACCAAAATTAACCCAAAACCAAAACCTCCCATTGCTCCCAATAATTAAAATGAAGAGGGACAATTTCGTCAATACACCCTCATAACTCTCCTTGCTATAGAGTGGCCGTGACTATTTGCCTTAGCCGCCGTCTTCTCCCACCCACCACCACCGCCTCCGCCGCCACCACCACTACCCCCGCCGCTCCTCCAGCTACTCCTCATCGGAGTCAAATAAAACCTCAACATTCCGTTCTCTCCATCTTTAGACGAATACCTCGAACTCTTATTCCTCGTCGATCCTCCACCGGAGCTTCGCCAGCTCACATTGCTGTTACTCCTCCTCATCTTCGGTCCTCCTCCTTCTCCGTTCCTCAGCTCCGGCCACGATTCCGATAAAGACCTCTCAACCATTCCGGCGCTGTTGGATCTGCTATACCTATCTTCTTCTTCTTCATCGTCCTTACCTTTCCTGTATATAAACCCTAAAATGCTCCATTTCCCCCACCGTCTCGATTTCTTATCTCCGTTTTGATTCCCTTTGCTCTCCGCTGTTTCCATGAAATTTGAATCTATTGTTGTTGTCGCCGGAGAAACCTTCGAATTTGATACCGATTTGACATCGTCTAGCTCCGTCGCAATTTTCCTAATTGAATTGGATCTGTCGAGGCTCTTCCGTCTCCGTGACGACGGAGGTCCAGTGTAATAGTCTCGAGTTTGATTAGATCCGCCTGGGATAATGATAATCGGGTCGGATTCATTGTTAACCGGATTAATTGACGGAGACGACGGTTCTTGCACTGGAATCTGCATGTCTGATCGATGAATTGGCGCGTTTTTCACGACTGATAACATCGATGGCGGCGGAGGAACCCTAGCCGCCGTTGTCCTGCTGATTAAGTGTCCATCCCACGACGCTCTTGGCTCGTCCAACGAGTAACGAGAATCGTCCAGAGAAATCCGGCCTATATCGACGGAGAATCTCCCGGCGTCAAGAGAGAATCTCGGGTCGGTGTCGCTGGATCTCCGGCCTACTCCGATTTCGGACTGTGGCCGTCCTCCGCCGCCGCCGACACCGCTTCTCGGCTTCTTGATTTTCTGCTTCTGCCTCCATTTCTGAAGTTTCTTGCTGAAAACAGAGGCCGCCGAAAAGAAACTCCCGGCGAAATCTTTCACCGACGGTTTCTTTGTTTGTGAGTAGAGATCCATGTAATCCTTCATTGGCTTCAATTCCTCTTCTTCCTCAACAATTTCGCCGCTTTTTTCTTCAACGATTTCGCCGGTATCATTTAAGATCTCAGAGTGGCCACCGTTTTCTACTTCCTCCTCAATTTCAGCTTCTTCAGTCACCTCTAAAACTATCTCACTCACGCTAGACTTTCTCGGCTCGTCCTCGATTTTACCGCCGGAGACGACGACGGTGGCAGTTTCTTTGGAGGGAGGGTTTCTATGGTCGTCACGAAGCCTGACGTCACAAGACCGACGCTGCGGCTCAAACCCACCGGAGAATCCTTCGTTGTTCTTTGCAGAAAACGACTTCGTACGTCGGAGCTCCGGGAAGAAACCGGGTCTGACCCGACCGTTTACATTGGAGTTGTTGTTGTTGTTGTTGTTACCACTAGTGGAGGGTTTAAAGAGAGCTTTTAACGTAGCAGCCGAGATAGTGGGAGGTTTCCGGGAAGAAGACGACGGTGGCGGAACGGCGTTGTGATCTAAGACGGAGAGGCGGTCGCAGAGACAAGAAGGACAGAAACCGGAGAAACGCTCATCTGGGTGGAGATCACATGATGTTGATAAGCGATGCGGTTGAGACGGCGGAGCTAGTTCGTCGGCGGCGGCGATGGGTGCTTGGTCGGCGGAGAGATTCATAAGAGGAAACGATGAGTGAGACCACGGCTCGTTTCTCTTTGGCTCATATCATCAGTGTCTTGTCTGCTTAATTGCTTTAGAGAGAGATTGGAAGAGTTGTTATGTCTGAAACTTTCGTCTGTTACCAACGGACATTGAAAGAGAAAGGAGATGAATAGAAAAAACAAAAAAATATTATTATATAAAATCCAAACAACATTAAATAAAATTAAATATTTAATGAAATATTTTGCAGGTGTCAGATTAAATCTGCGCTATTCTTTTTTTTTCTTTTAAGAAAGAAGGTTTGATGTGGAAGACCCTCGGTCCATTGGTTGAACAAGGGTTAATTAATGTTTATACATCCAGAGGTCTGGGGTTCGAGTTCCAGATACTGCGATTTATTAATAAATTTGCAGATTATTAGAGGCAAGTATACTGGAGATCTCCAGCGATATACAACTATGACCGTTCGCCAGGATTCTACACAGAGAGGAAAGTGTCCATTAAGAGCATAAAGAAGGAGGTGATGGAGGTGAATATGAAGAAGAAGGTGAAAAAGGTGTCGTCTATCGTGGATCTAATAAGGGTCGGAAGGAATTGTCCGTTGTAGAATTGTCTATGTAACCGTTCTCATAATTTGTAATAAATAATAAATCCAGACGTTAAAAAAAAAAGGTTTTATATTGAGTCTGACAATTTTAATATAAGAACAACGGTGTGATTTTTATGGGTTGATTGATCTCTCTGCCGTTCTGATTTTCTGTTCTTTGAGAAAAAATAAATTTATTTTAACAGCCAAAAAAAAGATTAGAGGGTAAGACATTTATCATTTTTGTCTATCAAAACATTAAACATACAATAACTATCAAATCTTAATCAATTTCTTAATATAAACATTAGTAGTAAAAAAAAAAAAAAAAAAAAAAAAAAAAAAAAAAAAAAAACATTAGTAGTATAAATTAGATAGAATAGAAGTGTATTTATTGATTAATATAAATGCTGAGAATATCCAGCTACAAATGTGCTTTATACGGAATTTGTTTTTCTTCTTCATAACTTTATTTGTACGGGCTAAGCTTTTTTCCTTTTTGTTGTAAATCCTCGCATCAATTTGCATGGGGTTGTCGCGACAATACTATTCGTTTTGCAATAAGAAACGACATAACCACCATTTACGTCTTAATTTCAGCTGAAAGAAATAAATTATCATTTTGACCTTTTACAAATTTTGTCTTATGAGGCAAAAGTGAATTTTAAGGCCCAACTCGTATTTAAATTTAAAAACTAAGAGCCAAGCAAAAGCAGAAAAGCAGAAAAAGCAATTCACGCCATCAAATCTTATTTGTTGTTTGGTCTCTCTATTCACTATTCCCTCCTGTTTTTCCTTTTTCTCATATGTATATTTTTCTCCATATTCATAACATTTTCCAATAAATGTTATTTTCCCAAAATAAAAAAACTTGAACACTATCTTTCCTTTGTATAAATTTTTTCGTATACTTACCAAGCAAAGCATGAAATCTTTGTTGTAGCGTGTGCACACATACATTTTCGTACGTGTGAGGAGTATTTTCACAATTTTATTCGCCGGTATTTATCGTTCTTGTCATTTTTGGTCATCAAAGATCTATGTCGAGAACTTTTTACGTGACGTGATTTCTTCCATCATCTATTAACCTCAACGCAATCAATGCCATTAATGTGGGCTTTTACTTATATTTTCACCAATCAAATAAGCTTTTTTAGTCATTCCTAAACAGCAGTATATACTTAGAAAAGGTAACTTTAAATTATGTATAATAATATAAACTTATATTGAGAAAAAAAGCAGACCCAAGTAAAACTAATTGTGATCAAAGAAAGAAAATGAACTATATCCCTATATTTACATTATTATCTTTTGGTTGGTCATAATGATTGGTGTGATTAATCATGAAATTTACGACAATGATTATACTAGCTTTTTACATTTTGAAATTTATATGGGGATCGCAATAAGTAATAGAAAACATGGGAAAAAGTTTCTTTGATCTCAGTTTTCTTCTATTCTCATAATGTGAAATAATGGTGTCTTGCAAATATTGCTATGTATCATTATGGTTCATAATTGGAAAATCCATTTGAAACGAAATTTTCCATAGCCACACACTTATAAATGACTGGTTCTTTTTGCTGAATAGTGGATACACATGTAGAGTGAAGGAATCCCAATAAATAGACTGTGAACTGTTGTCTGTGAGGATTATACTTAAAGCCAATACAAAAGAAAAAAGAAAAAGAAAAAACACGCAAAGATGACAAATCTCAAGGCTTTTTACTAAGAAGTAAAAACCTTTTTGTTTCCTTTTTTTACCTAGATTTTTACACATACATATGAGCTATGAGCTATGAGCCTATGACACATGCCCATGTGTAGATGATTGAACATTTACATTTGTTTCTTTATCACAGTGGGTGGAAACAGACTACAGTATTAGGATGGCTGTTTCTACAAAATGGTAAAACCTTTGATTCAACTCAAATATTTGGTCTTCGGATCGAATTTTGGCACAGCTTTTCTGTATACATGTTTTGGTTTTTTTTTTTTTGGACCAAAAGTTTTTGTTTTTAACTTAGTTTTTGTTATTTCGAAATGGGCATTAATCTACTTAATAAAGCCCTAGAAAATAGCCCAAATTTAAGTGCCCAGGTTTATTTTATATCATCAACATCTCTCGGGATGCCCTACCTCCGACTCCTTGAACAATCGGAAAGGTAACAACAGTCTTTGTGGAACTACTGAGGTAAAACCTAACACTTGTCACCAATGGAGAAACAGGTAAACGACTGTAAAACTTTCTTTCTGTAGCGGAACCACATGTAAAGCACCATTTGAATGTTATATTTTTATTTTTTTCCGTTTCCGTTTTGTAGAAAACGTAGGAAGTTTTGCAATCGGTGCAAAATAATTCTCCGGCAGATTCAAAACTCAGAAGAAAGCTCATGGACCAATTTGTGATTGATGCAGCATACGGCTGCTTTATGAGGACCGCAAATCCATTCTTTGATTGGCGTCCGCTTAGATACCCTCACAACTTGACAAGATCTCTTCCGGAAGGGATCACGCGCAAGGAGCTTGGTATTATTAATCTCACAGCTCAGTTCATGGCGGTTTTTGGGATTTTCTTCCAGCGGGCTCTGATTAAGACGGTGATTATGGACCCTCGGTTTGACTTCATGACCAAGCCACCTGAGCACTCTGTTTACTATGGGCTCCTCGCTGGCTATATGCCAACTGATGATAGCAAGTTTTCTTTTTATTGTCGTCTCTTTCGTGGGTACTTGGCTTTATCAAAGCCTTGCCAAGACCTGCTAAGAATGCTGGTGCTAGTCCCGAGACTGTTCTTGAGGGGTTTTTCCATCTTCTTGCTCTATTGGAGGATGATGAGAAGATTGGTATGGTTGATTTGCATGTTTTTGAGTTTCTTGCTAAAACGTTGGGTTATATGATGCCATTCCCACTTGGACACCTTTCAAATATGCTGCATTCTCAGATGATTGAACTTCTTAGGACACCAATTCATTATATGCCAGACGATTGGCATGACAAGATAAGGGTCATGGAAACTGAAATCCATGATGTTGAAAGCCGCTCCTCTTGGAGGAACTCTGTTTCTTATCATGCATGCTACCAGCAAATGCAGATCCTGAGTCAGGAGGATCATGCCTTTTGCGAGCATCCCAAGGACTTGCAGCAAAACAATTCTAACGACCAAGGTCCCTCGGCGCATTCGCTTCCATCTCCCTGGAGTGGTCTGCCGCTTCCCGAGTTCACAAGCTTAATTCCTGAAGGGATCACGCGCCAGGAGCTTGGTATTATTAAGCTCACAGCGCAGTTTGACGCTGTTTATGGGCTCTACTTTCGGGAAGAGATAGAGAAGATGTTGATTGAAGACCCTCGGTTTGCGTTCCTCATCAAGCCAACTGATAATAGCAAGTACTACTCTTTCTTCTCTAAGCTCTCTCTTGGGTATGATATGGTATTAATACCTTCGCGAAAGAAGGGTGCCTAATCGAAAGATGAGTGGGTCTCCTAGTTTGGAGACCGTTCTTGAGGGCTTTTGGAATTTGTTTGAAATGGTTGAGGAGGGAGTGGACATGGGTATTGTTGATTTGCATGCTTTTGAGTTTTTTGCCAACACGGAGGATCAAGAGTTGAATCTACCACATCAATACCTTTTAATGATCATGTACCCGCTGGTACCTCCGTTTGCTCATTTGCAAGCTCGCATACCTCGATGCCATTATCCACAGCCCCCTCCACGTGAACACCCAAACACAAAAAGACTAAAGGTTGACAAGGACTCTAGCCGGCCCGGTAAAGAGACTGAAGGTTGACAAGACTCAAGATGACAAATCTCTAAGCTTTTAACTATATTAAGAAACTTTTTGTTACTTTTTATTATTATTTTTTACACATACATGATACATTTGAGCTATGACACATGCCATGTGTAGATGATTGAACATCTTCATTTGTTTCTTTATCACAGTGGGTGGAATCTAGGATGGTTGTCTCTATATAATGGTAAAACCTTTGGTTCAACCCAAATCAGTTTGGTTTTCGGATTGAATTTTTGGCACAGTTTTGACTCGGTTCAAATTGGGTTTAATCGAATTACAAGTTAGACCCACATACGACAGCGTTTTTAGAAACAAAAAATACTTAGAAACTTTCAAACGACAAGTTTAACATTGCACAAACTAGACTACTACTCTTACTCCTGCCCAAAGCCATCACGGTTCTCTTGTTGCCACCCAAAACTTTGACCGTCTCTACCCCGGTTAACCTGCTGGGTCGTTTGAGGCGGTGCCATTCCGGGATTCCATGACGGAGGAGGATACGATCCTTGGAAATTCAGATTCATCATTGGTGAAGGCGGCGGATACCCGAGCAATGAACCTTGTTCTGATCCGCCACTCTCTGTTCTTGTCATCTCGTACTGAGCACCGTTAAAGAATTGTTGAGATGATCCACTCTCTGTTGTTGGATACGAAGGAAAACCAAACTGCTGTGGTAACCCCGGGTTTTGATTCATTGTAACGGGCAAGCTGGGTGGTTGCATAAGATTCATAGGCTGCGGGTAGTCTGGGAACCGGATTCCTGGTTTAGGACTAGCGGTTTCAAATCCCGGAGGGCGAGAGTTATCGCTATCTGGAGGGTAATTCTGGACTTGACCAAATCCAGATTGTGACTTTGCAAATGACGCCGACCTGTTTAGTAACGGTTGTTCACGGGATTGTTGCTGCTGGGATCTTAAAGGACCTCGCAACGTGGATTCTGAAGCTGAAGATTGCTGCATTGTGCTCTGAACATCTGACTGGTTACCATCTTCTTTGTCTGCATCGGCTTGTAATAGGCTTCCGTGGAGCTCATGGACATGGGCTTCAAAGTCAAGTTTCTTCAGGAATGACCTAAGACAATGAGGAGCTGCACAGATGAAGATTCCTTCCATCATCTTGATTGTCTGAATTTTCTGAATCCGTTCATCACATCTGTACAATAACACACACACACACACACACACACACAAAAGAGATCATAAGATTTCAGTTTGATAATCCCGCTATAATCGCTTGGCCTACTAAATCTCTAAAAAGTCTCTGTAGATTACCAAACAATATAAAGTATCTCTACCAAAGCTTCTAATGAAATGCTTCCATGTATCTAAACTTCCCAATTCGAGAACACAAGCCTACTTCAAAACTATCGCTCTTCGTTGATTGATTCAACAGTGAAAAGAGTTAAAGATGCTTACAAATAGCAGATGGACTCACTACGAGCACATTCAAGACAAAAGGCATGATCACAAGGAATCTGCAAAACCAAACAACTCCAAAAGTTTCAATCACATATTCAAGAACCCCCCTAGCCAAATCAAAATCATAAACCAATAGGGACGCGAAACTTTACCAGACGACCATAGATTGCAATCGGAAAATCGCAACGGACGCAGAAATGAACTCTCTCGCCTAGTTGACGGCGAGAACGACGACCAACGGGCTTGATTACGGTGGTGGGAGTCACGGAACCGATCCCTTTCGCGACAGGAAGATCGGCGAGGACGAGATGGTCGGGACAGGCTACAGTAACTGTCTCCGTCGGAGAAGGCCTCGCTCCATTTCCAGTCTCCGTAGGCGAATCTCTCCGAAGCCGAATTTGGAGCATTGTCGCTGTAACAACCCCATAACAAAAATTACATGAACGGAACCCTAAAATAAAAATCAAAAGAAAGAAGAGGAATCAAAGATGCTCTACTTACCAAGTAAAATCGGAGATTGGGATTTCAGATCTCTCTCTACTTCAGTTCTTCTCAAGAATCACGCCGGAGCCGAAAACGGCGAAGCAAAATTTTTTTTTTTTTTGGGCAACGGAGACGATACACACTGATTAATTTCTATTTTATTTAATTAAAAATAATTCACAATAGAAAAATAGAAATAGAGAGAACCTTCTGGCTGAGGAAGAGGGTTTCAGGAACCAGACCATTATAACTTCAAGTCTTCTTTTTTTTTGTTCAACGCTTCAAAGTCTTCAACATTCCAAATTATATACCAACTGGATCTTATTACAAACTTTTGTATATAAATGCATTTGTTTTGATAGCTTGGTAATATTTCTATTGAACGTTGTAGTTGCTTAATATTAAGAAAAACTCAACAATATGTGCAAGTTTTTGCCTGCATTTAGGCTCATAGCTTTAAACAATCTTGCAGAATTTGATTAGTCATACAAAGAAAGAAAAATAATCAAATAATCAAATAAAACTCAATAATTTGATTAGTCATACAGAGAAAGAAAAAGCTTGGAAATCCACTAATAAGAACACATGAGAAATATAATCTAAAAATATAATCAATAATCGATTAGTAGCAACTTATAGAGAGTTCTCACTAGCTCTGTATTTTTCTTCAAGTCTCTTCCTTGACTTTCTTTGAAACCGGGCTCAATAAATCAGTCTCCTCCTTCAGTTTCTTAGCAATCAAATTCCATAATGCCGTGCTCAAAGCAGCGGATGTCACCAATGAAGCTCTCAACAAATTCAAAGCCTAATTCAAAGAAAGTTTCGGTCAAGTTCGTATCAAGCAGTAAAGAGGATCAAAAAGGGTATGTAGAAGCATACCTCTGCATTGCTGATGCTAACTACTTGCACCTCTAAATCGTCTGCATGACTCTGCAAGTTCTTTAGTAAGCAAACTGTGGAGCAGGAGTTCATAGATGTAATGGTCAGATCATCTAACACAGTAAACTTTGTCTCTTTTTTCAAGAACCCATGAGTAGACTTATTAATGCCACGGGATTTGGGATCCATCAAATCCACCCGAACGATTCTGTCCTTGCGGAAATAAGTAGTTCGATTACCGTTTGTAGTCAAACCATAGCTCACTTGCCTGTAATCGTTGAGCCTGTAGCGGTAGTATACTGGAGGTTGTTGAGTGATGATACCAGGCAACTGCATCTGGAAATTATAAAAAGAGGGAAGCACGCATGTGGAAGGTGACACTTCAGTCCCCTCATTAGCCTTTAAGTCACTGAAGCTTCTACACAAGTTTCCAATGCAACCTAAGGAGATACTGCTGCCAGAGATTTCCCATACAGATTCCAAAGGGACAGCAAGAAAAGATAAAAGAAGCTCAACAAATTCCTCTCCGCATTCAATGAATAAAATCTTCATGTCCTGCTTCCTCACAAATGCTTTCAAAGTTACTACCTTTTCCGGTTCTGTTTCATCTTCTTTTTTCTCCAAACATGGACTTAGCGATTTGTAAAACTTCGTCACACCTTGCGGACTTTTCTTGTTCAAGAATGCGTCCGTCAAGGGAGCATTTGAGGAGAATATACATTCCAGCAGAGTCAGTACCTAGTCCAAGATTCAGATATAGTAAGAGAGAAAACTAACAAAGCAATGATTAACACAACTTGAAGAATAAACTAACATACCTCTTCTAAACCAATATCAAGAAGCCTTTCACCGAGCTTACTAACATCAGCACAACCTAATGATTTGAGCTTATTCAAGACAAGTTCAGTGGACTTGACAGCCACTTCCAAGTCATCAGTTAAGATAAATGAACACCTACCGCTGACAAATACTCCATTAGCATCACTTTGATTCTGGCCTGCAACTTTTTCTTTGTTTTCTAATTTAATCTCCTCGTTCGTCAAATTTCCGCAACTACATATAGAGGTGTTAAAATTACTGTATAAGCTGCAGTAACTTGGGCACTTAAAGCACTTGATGTCCTCAGTAGGGTTTATGTTGAGCTTAAGCCTTTTGCACTGGACGTCCCTCACACTCCTCAGATACATGAGCATCTGCTTACAAGCTTCAGTCTCAAAACTATCTCTGCTCATCTCCACAACGCTTCTATAGAGATTGTTGAAACAGCCAACAGTAACTGGCTCAGATTTGCGATGATTCTCAAGCAATCTGACAATGGTTCCCATTGGAAGTGTCAGAAGGCTGAAGAGTACATCAACAAAATCCCTACAAGCTTCAGCCAAAACGACCTTGTTTTTCTCCTCATCAACAATAAGTCTCAAAGTAAACTTAGGCTCCTCAGAACTTTTAGCCATTAACGTAGATTAACGATGAAAGAAAGACAAAAGCAAGACAGGGAAGAAAACGTTTCTTAGACACTCAGAAACAGAAGAGACACTATAGAAACAGAAAGCATCAACTCCCATTTTAAGAGGGTTTAAAGTGATCCGACATTGAATGAACAATAATAACGAGTCATCAACACCAAAGAGTCATAAACAAAAAATCCAACCCTTTGAGCTTTCCCCTTGACTGTTGCATGCACTTAAATTCACAAATTTTTCACTTAACTCTGAACATTAAATGTGGTGAGTCATCAAAACCAATAACCACAATCAAAAACTTTGATTTTCTCGTTGACTGAGAAAGAGAAGGAAGAAATTGTGATTCAAACTGGATTATTTACTTAATGCGACAGAAATTTATGATTTTCTTGAAACCAACGTTGTAGTTATTTTAAAAGTTTCAAATAAACCAAGTAGAAAACCAAAGTCAAGACCATAAGAGAAAAATTAACAATAATAAAGTAAGTCTCAAGAAAGATGAGAAAATCCACATTGCACAAACCGAAAGAATCTAGCAAACAAATATAGCAAGCAGTACAAGTTTAGCGTTGAAAAATATCTCAGGATTCTCTCCACCTTTGTGTTTACTTCAAGTCTCTACCTTTGGTTTCTTTGAAACAGGGTTCCACGAAACAGTCTCTTCCTTCGGTTTCTTTACAATCAAATTCCCAAAAGCAGAGCTCAAAGCAGAGGATGTCACCAATGAAGCACTCAACAGATTCAAAGCCTGATATAGTAGTACAAAGAATCATAATTTTGTAGGAAAAAAGAAACAAGGGTTTAGTTTCTACAACAAGTTTCTTTTACCTCTGCATTGCTGATGGTAATTGCTTGCACCTCCAAATCATCAGTGAGAATCTGAAACTTCTTCAACATAGAAAATGTTGAGCTAGAAATCTTAGGTGTTACAATAAGATCATCTGACACAAAAAAAACTTTGTCCCTCTCTTCACAAACCCCATACCATCTTTTGACCGGTCACAATAATCAGATTTTGGATCCACAAAAGTCATGCGCCTTGTAGTATGTTTTGTAGTCAAACAATAACTGCTGTTTAAGTAAACCCGTGGTGTAGGATTTCTGATATTGAGCAACTGTTTCTTGCACCTATAATAATACGGAATCATACATTTAGATGTTGACAACACTTCATTAGCACTCAAGTCTTTGAAGCTTCTGCACAAGTTCCCAATACGACCTAATGTGATATTGTTGCCAGAGATTTCCCATGTAGACTCCAACGGAATGGCGAGAAAAGTGAAAAGAAGATCAACAAAGTCTTCACCGCACTCAACGTACAAAATCTTCATGTCTTGTTTCCTTACGATAGCATCAAAAGTTATAACTTTGTCTTGTTCTGCTTCATCCTCCAGCTTTCTATAACTCTTCCTCACCGTGTTTGAACTTTGATTCTTCAAGAAAGTATCCGTCAAAGGTGTATTTGAGGTGAATACACATTGCAGCAAAGTCATAACCTATAAGTAAGGAGAGCTCTTAAAACACATTTCAAAGCAAAAGTGTATTTATAATTAACATGGAAGAAAAGATCTAACCTCTTTGAAACCGATATCAAGAACCTGCTCTCTCAGCTTACTAACATCAGCACAACCAAGATCTTTGAGTGTTTGCAAGAGAGAACCAGTAGAGTCATCCGTGACTCTCAAGTCATCGGTTATGATAAACGACGACTTGTCTCTCATAAACACTCCTTCGACATCATTTTCCTCATATTCTAAAAAACTTATCTCCTCATTCATCATCTTTCCACACTTACATAGGGACGTGTTAAAATTACTACACATTCTACAGAAGAAGAAACATCGACGCCCAAAGCACTTGAAGCTTTCATTAGGGTCAATGTTGAGCTTAAAGTTTCTGTATTGAGCTTCCCTAATGTTCTTGGGATAAAGCAACATCTGCTTACAAGCTTCAGTCTCAAAATGATCAATCTTCATGTCCACAACACTTGTATAAAGGTTGCTAAGACATCCTATAGTAACTGACTCAGACTTTCGATGCTTCTCAAGCAATCTAACGATTGTTCCCATTGGCAATGTCAAAAAACTGAAGAGTACTTGGAACAAAATATTTACCATCCTCAGCCAAAACAACCTTGTTTGTTACTTCATCAATGATGAGTCTCAAACTAACTCTGAGCCATTGTAGTTCAGATGAATGAAACCCTAAAGAAAAAGACCTAGTATAACATAAGAAGATCTTATTATATCTTTTAGAAATATTATCTAGGATTCTTTAGTTAAATATACTCATTATGATTCTGTAGTTGACACAAGAAACGAAACCCTAATGGTACGCACCAAATCAAATTATCCTCCAACCGAAACCTCCAATCGATGCAGAGGTATCACCGATGACTCATCACTGACACTCACCATCCTTTAACGACGTCGTTGCTGTGAATCCTTGAAATCCGATGTCGTTGCAGTAAAACGAAAGTTTCGTTTCGTAAACAAACCTTTCCTTTTGCACAAAACAAAAAACAAACCTTTCCTTCTTTTTCTGGCATTAGAGCTTTAGATTGATGATGCTGCCACATCCCTTAAATATATTTGAAATTGGGTTTCATTGAGCTAACGAAGATCACATTAGAGGAAATCATGATTGCTTGTGTTTAAGATTGAAGAAATGTTTGTTCATGAAGTTTTCATTGGGCAGATCAAAGAACAACTGGATGCAGAGTCGGTTTCATCTAATATTATCTAGTATACATTTCATCTTCTTTTGGTCTTCAGGTGGTCTTGACTCTTGAAACCAACAAAGTCAATTCCCACAGAACAAATCCATCTCTCAAGACATGCCTGCCTCTGTATGTGCGTTTGACAAAACATATGACTTGTCTTTGTTCTTAATAATATCACAGATATAGATAACTCTTATTTTTATTCCTTACTCTAATCTGACCCAAGTTAGGTTAATAAGAAAAGTATTTGTTTACTCTAAATAATCTGTTAAACACAAAGGTTAGTCATTTCAGCCTTCAAGTTCAAGTAAATCCAGATCAATGTTAAACATGTTGCATTTACAAAGATATTGTTTTGTAGACAGATTTGTTTTGCATAATTGTGTGATTTACATAAAACAGATCAACAGAAGAACAGAACTAAACGCTAACACTTATACACGACCACCTCTCCAACATGAGACATCAAACGCCACACACACACACACACAATCTCGTATAAGAAGAAGCAATGCCAATCATTCCACTGCATTTTTAGTTACCAAAAACTCTTTTCCTCTCTGCTTCTTCTCTGCATAACTTGCTTATAATCCTCAAAAACAAAACGCCTACCAGTACCACCAAAAACATTCCCGGTAAGTTTCCCGCGACTGTTAATGGCTCTTTCCGGAAGATACAAAGACTTGCAGACTTCATACTAACATCAAAGAAGACAATGATGTGGTTTGCGTATCGAAACCTCTGAGGGAACTGATTATACATAGCCATGAAGTTGTAGACGTAATGGTAAGAATCAAGATTGGGGATATGACAACGTTGCGCTGGTTCTATTCTAACCAAAGCATTCATTCATGGCTCCTGCTTTCTTGTTTTGATCTCAGAACCAGGCGGCTTCTCTCTCGACGCATAGACCAGCATTGGTAGCCATGATGATGATGTCAACGTGTCTTGTATCAATCGAGTCCTCAGAATCTGGCTTATGCTCCACAAATTAGTTCTGAATTTGGAGGAGCCAACCAACATTGCCTGTAGCAACCACCACAACATGTTAGGAGCAGACATTGTTTTGTATACAAACAAACCTGATCTTAAAAGAAAACATATAACCATATCTCATACTCCATCTGATTATCATCGCCTCACAATTAAGTTGATATTCTTACACATTAAACTCATCATTCATCATGTTCTCTCTTACCTTTTGAGTTTTGATATATAATTTTTGCGAGCAAAAAAAAAGATGATTCTTTGTAAACGTTAAATGAAAAAAAAAGGAAAAAGTCATCGAGAAAAAGGAAACAACCAAAACGAAATTTCCTTTTTGGTTAGATCGATATTAGTAAATGGAAATCGGATCTAATTTAGATTTTCTCTATAATACTGAAAATCCCAACGGTTAGAATAATAAAAGTATATAAATAATCCCAACGGTTAGATTAATAAGCAAAGTAGGTTCTCTAGGTTTATTTCCTTTTTTTCTTTAAGAGTATCATTGCTTATAAATACACACACTATCACGCATTCTCTTCTTCTTCATTCATGAGAAATCAAAATTCTCTTCTTCTTCTTCGAGAAACGAAAAACAACATCTATCATCTTTCTCTTCTATTTCTCTTTTTAAGACTCGACATCTCAGATTCGTGACTGATTGAATAACTTCTCCCACACGCTCTCTGTCTTGACCTAATCGAGGATGATGTCAGAACCTAATTTCACCGGTGGAGAAGGAAGAGATCGGAGGCAGTGAAAGCGAGGAGCACCTAAGAAGGTTTTGATTAGACCATTCTCTCGATGCAGAAGAAGAAATTGAGATTCCGAGGTCGACCTAGGAGGAACTCTAACATGAGGAAGAACGACGACTGCTCTGCTCTTTGTGAGAACAAAAAACCAGTAAAAGAATCCGCATGGACCTTGATGAGACGTACGTACGTACGTAGGGTTTGGAGAAGAGTGGTTCTGGAGATGGACGAAGAGATGAGAGTGAAGCCGATCAACTTTTCATCAAAGACAAACCAAAAGTTCTCAGATTTTCCAAGCGGTGGATTCGGATGTCATCAACGACACAACTACACGGTGGGCTCACACTTCGAATGGGCTTTTTGTATGGGCTACCAAATCCAGGTATTACTTTCTTCATTCTTATTTTTTGTTTGTTTTCTTTAAAAATTATTTTCAAGTAAAACTAAAATTAAATAGTTTAAAACTTTCACTAAAACATTTAAATAAAAAAAACTTTTTAATTTTTTAAATTAGGTTAAGTAATAGTAATTTTCACTAAAATTTAAAACAAATTTAACACTTCAACTTTAAGAAAATAATATTTTTAACTAAAACTAAAACTATGTTAATTTCACTAAAACTTTTTAAGAATTAGATTAAGTGTTGAATTTTAAACACGTTGAAAACTAACCGCGCCTAGGCATCCCGTCCTTCATTGGTCCGTAAGCTTTGTGGTGTTCGAAGTTCGGCATGTTTTCACGTTATATAGATTTAACACTTAAACTCATTTTTGAAAATAATAGTGATTTTGACTTTAAAAATTTAAAACTTTAACACTTAAAGAAAAAAATGTTTTTAACTAAAACCATGTTAATTTCACTAAAACTTTTTCACTAAACTTTTTCACAAAAACCATAGTACTAAAATTTAAAACAAATTTAATACTTCAACTTTAAGAAAATAATATTTTTAACTAAAACCATGTTAATTTCACTACAATTTTTTAAAAATTAATTTAAGTGGTAAATTTTAAACACGTCGAAAACTAACCGCGCCTAGGCATCCCGTCCTTCATTGGTCCGTAAGCTTTGTGGTGTTCGAAGTTCGGCATGTTTTCACGTTATATAGATTTAACACTTAAACTCATTTTTGAAAATAATAGTGATTTTGACTTTAAAACTTTAACACTTAAATAAAATAATGTTTTTAACTAAAACCATGTTAATTTCACTAAAACTTTTTCACTAAACTTTATCACAAAAACCATAGTACTAAAATTTAAAACAAATTTAACACTTCAATTTTAAGAAAATAATATTTTTAACTAAAACCATGTTAATTTCACTACAATTTTTTAAGAATTAGTTTAAGTGGTAAGTTTTAAACACGTCGAAAACTAACCGCGCCTAGGCATCCCGTCCTTCATTGGTCCGTAAGCTTTGTGGTGTTCGAAGTTCGGCATGTTTTCACGTTATATAGATTTAACACTTAAACTCATTTTTGAAAATAATAGTGATTTTGACTTTAAAACTTTAACACTTAAAGAAAAAAATGTTTTTAACTAAAACCATGTTAATTTCACTAAAACTTTTTCACTAAACTTTTTCACAAAAACCATAGTACTAAAATTTAAAACAAATTTAATACTTCAACTTTAAGAAAATAACATTTTTAACTAAAACCATGTTAATTCACTAAAACTTTTTAAGAATTAGTTTAAGTGGTAAATTTTAAACACGTCGAAAACTA